TCATCACTTCGTTACTCATAACTTTAATGATTTCGATAACACTCATACTGGCAGATTTCTTCTCACTCGTTATATCACTTTGTAAAAAATTGTTATCAAGCTGATTCTTGGAATTAACAATAAGCCTGTGATCGATATGAGAAACCTGAATAAAGAAATTTTAGTCCTTTTTGTTTTGATTGGTCAAATTCCAATCTTTAATCTTCAATTTTCAATTTTCGATGCGTAGTCTGATACGGGCTTTAGAACATATATACCTGGAAGGGAAATTGCCTATCATACATATACGAAGATTCAAGATGGCGACGAAATGGTCCAAGTAATTCCATTCGGCAAACCTGGCCACATACGGAACATTTTTCGTGACCACTTTCAATCTAGGTAGATAACTCTCCTTACTCTTCCTTTATGCTTGAGACTATGATGAGACAAAAAGGACTTCCGTTTGTTCTCTCGGCGAGTGAACATCGTGGCTTAGTGGTAATCGTATTTTGCCAATTTTGCCAATTAAGTGACCACGGGCCATATACTGGCTTGGTGTGAAACATCTGGTTGATCGTGATCGCGATCCGTTGCATGCGGGACGCGCATAGCATCGCGCAATGGAACCTCCCTGGCCCTGAAACATCTCGAGTCGCCACGTAAGTGTGGCCACGGCCATATTGTCCGTCGGACGAATACTGCGTATAAAACTTACGCTCATACGCATAACACACACAAGAGCTAATGTGCAACGCGTATAATGGAAGTAGATAACGAGGATAATCCTGAAAGCTCTACACAAAAATTTTCTCAGTCCACTGGGACGAGCAACGAAGAGGATGTTGCTGAAAAAGTTCGTGACATCATATATCATCGCAATCGCAAAAGGAGCCAGTCTTCCACATTGAGAAGCCCTCTCCCTCCAAAAAGATCCTTCTTAGACTCTTTTAACGTTCGCGATCCCCGCTTACAAAACAAGTATAGTATTAATGTTAAACCTCCGTTCATTATTCATATCGAAAAAACGAGCCTCAAACCTCCTCCCACCTCTCAGACTCTGGATTCCGAAGCTACAGAAATAAATAACAACATAAAAACAGGTATAGATAACCTTGATAACGTCTCATCAAACAAGAGCCAGCGTTCCAACTCTGGCTCATACGATATAATCGCTTTTGGTAAACGTATTACTAAGCATATTGACAATTTCTTATCGGCATTTGATTTAAAAACAATTGACAAAAATAAATTTTCGGTAACTTTCACCGATGGTAATACGGCTAATAAATTCTGTGACATTTTCAACAAAAAATATACTTCCATCTTTCCTAAAGAGACATGGATAGCATATGTGCCTAATTATAAAATCATTAGACAGTTTATAGTCAGGGGCGTCGATGATGACGACTCTCCTGGTGAATTAATTAAAAATGTCCGTCCACCACCGGATTGGAATGCCTTATGGCAGCCTCCATTCGAGGCTGCTAGATTAAAAAAATCTATCCGTTCACAAAACCCAGACAAAACTTTCACTACTAAATGTATTGAATCTGACTCATATATTATACGTTTCAGAACATTATCAGTCCCATCTAGTGTCATATATATGGGAAAGAGGTTATATTTGACACCGTTTATTGAGAAAGTCAGAAGGTGCCAAAAGTGTCAGCGATTTGGGCATGTCGCAAGGATTTGTCGAACTCCGGACAAGAACGCAGTTTGCCGGCGCTGTGGTAAGCTCACATCATCCCACGATTGTAATAGTAATGTTAACGAGACATGTACGGCTGAAAAACCGTCATGCGTTAACTGTAAAAGGTATTAGCTGCCTGATAACATTGCTGATCATGAGGCATCCTCCAACTCCTGTCCTGTCTTCCAAAAACAAAGGAAAATCAAGAAGCTTATGGCATACCATAATATTTCTCAGTTCGAAGTAATCACATGGCTCGAGGGCTCTGACCCCCGATCACATTCGGTGGATGAGAACCATCAGTTCTCGCATCCACTTCCTACGCTTGGGGAATTCCTTCCCTATGCCCTACCTAAATCCTATGCCGAAGCGGTCTCTAGAGATCATCGCTCTAGACTTTTGAATTTTTCTCCTCCTTTATCGGAGGTTAATAAGAAACGCTTGCCTATTAACGCCAAGCCCCTGTACACGACAAATATCTTATCCGCTATATCATCTGTTAATCACAAAGAACATAAAGAGCATGATGTTGGACCGCAACGTAAAGCGCCTTACCCCTCGTTAACTAAACCTCCTTTCACTTCTCCATCACCCTTCACTTTCACCTCTACTCAGGACACAGACATTAACATTTGCTCTAGCAATAATACAACTATTAACAATCGTCCTTTCAATTCAACACATATCCCCTCGGCCAGCGATTACAACACGCCTCCTCCTGGCACTAACTCTAACCTAGATATTCTGAAAAACTGGGTTCTTGACTGCCAAAACAAGTTTTCTGCGGTCAAGACTATACAATCAGACATTCTGACACAGATGGGAGCTCTTCTCCTGAACAACTCCCTTTTCTCTTGATATAATTTCTTCTTCTCTAACGCTCAATGCATATGATGAGTATTATCCATCTTCTACAGTGGAACTGTCGCTCCATGCATAGGAGAAATCCTGAACTCTCTTTTCTATTGGATAAATATAACATCAATATCGCCACTCTTTGCGAGACTAGATTAGATGAACACTTTCGTCCTATTGTCAATAACTTTGATATTTACTCTCATGATCGTAATCGTTACGGTGGGGGAGTTGCCATACTCATCATTAGATTCACTCAAATCACAGATGATAACATAAACCTCATCTGTAGTCGCAATAACATCGAATTTATCTTTGGTAAAGTATGGCTGGATAGGGATAGATTTATATACGTCTGCTCACTCTACAGTCCCCCTCGTGGTGGCAACTATTCATACACTGAGTCTTGTGCCTGGCATTCTGTATTTCAGTATCTCTCCGGCTTTAATCCTACCATGGTATGTGGCGACGTAAACGGGAAAAGTGCCCTGTGGTCTTCGGGCCTGCCGGGCCCGGACACGGAGGGTCGCAAGCTAGAGAATGCTGTTTTATCGCTTGATTTCTCATGTCTTAACGACGGGAACTATACGTGGGCCTCCGCGGATCTCTCATCTACCTCGGTGCTTGATATAACGCTGGTTTTTCCATCTATCGCACCAAGATGCTCTTGGAGCGTCCTCGAGAACAATTACGGTAGCGACCATTTCCCCATCATTGTTTCAATCACCAATGATAATACTATTCCTTCATTTGGCCGCCCTTCCTTCGCCACGTCTAAGGTCGATTGGTCTAGGTTTCAACTTGAATGCTCTAAATACGCAAACCAAACACACAACTTTGGCATCAATTTGGATGCGGTTTATGATAACCTAATCAATTTTATCCACCAGGCACTCTTGATATCTGGTGCAAGGAAATTCCCGTCCAATAACATCAGGAAAAAACTTCCTACTGTATGGTGGGATGATGAGTGCAAGGAAATGATCTCTAAAAAGAATCTAATCTTTAGAAGATTCAAACAATCCCCCTCATTAGATAATTTGACGGAACTTCTTGAACTTAGAAGATACTCATCAGGATTTTTCAGGAAGAAGAGGAAACTCGCTTTTCGTGAGTTCTGCTCTTCTTTGAATATGAACACGCCTATCTCTGCTGTATGGAAGTATATCAGAGCTTTTTCAAATAGAAACTATAATAATTCTCCTCACTCTCTCATATCTGAGAACGTATTTTTTGAAGCTTTTAATAAGCTGGTCCCTCCTGCTCTTAGCCCCACACCTGATATGCAAAGCCTAATATCCGATTTGCCGGACTTTGATACGAATGGCGGTGGTGAGTTCCTCCTCATGCCATTCTCGAAGCAGGAATATTATGAAGCTATTGCCTCGTTAAAAATTAAAACCGCATCTGGTGCTGATCTTATATGCAATAAAATAATTAAAAAATTTCCAGACGTATTCCATTTTCTAATATTGAAGATTTTCAACTTAATTTTCAATAAGGACGAGTACCCTCATCAATGGAGGGAGTACTTCGTCGTCTTCATACCCAAGCCTGGTCGCAGAGACTCGCTAAGACCTATATCATTGGCCAATAACTTGCTAAAGATATTCGAGAAGCTAATACATAGGAGAATTGAATTGTGGGCAGAGAGGGGCTCCCTTTTCTGCAAATCCCAGTTCAGCTTTAGGAAGGGACTTTCCTGTACTGATAGCATTTCCACTCTGACTACGAGCATCCAATTGTCTAATAAATCCCGTAAGTTTACTGGTGTAGCATTTCTAGATATCGAGGGAGCTTTTGACAGGGTTCGCCCGGAGATCTTGTTAGTCCTGCTCGCTAAATTCGGTCTTCCTCCTAAGATTCTGAAATTCATCAAGGCTTTGACTTCCCGTAGGCACCTCATAGGTTTTGCCGCGGGCATTAACCTGCAGAATCGTGATACCACTATTGGTCTTCCTCAGGGCTCCATTCTCAGCCCCATATTATTTAACTTGTACATCGCCTTCTCGCATTCTGTACTGCCTGATTCTGTAAAGATATTGTATTACGCAGACGATATCGCAATTTACTGCACTGGCGGTCAACTAGGGTTTGTCAAGGATCAGATGAATAATGCTTTGTTTGGCCTGTTTCGGTTCTTTTCCTGTCTGGGTCTTGGCATCTCTCCTTCTAAGTCTAGTTTTATGATTTTTTCAACGCTCAAACCACGAAATCTCCGCATAATCATGAATGAACATAATTTCTTTTTAAAGGTAGGCGATGGGAACATACGGTTCTCCTCGACGGCACGTTTCCTGGGTGTCGTCTTGGATTCCGAGCTCAATTGGAAAGCACATGTCTCATCTGAGAAATCGCATAATGCCCAGAGTGAATATTCTCAGGGCTATTGCTGGCATTAGATGGGGTGCCCACCCCTCGAACCTTCTCAATGTTTATAAGGGCTTTATTAGACCGCTATTGGACTGGGGATGTCAATCCTTCAATCCACTGAATGAACAACTCTATTTGAGAGTTAGTCGCCTACAATACACGTCCCTAAGAATTGTGTCGGGTATGATGATTACCACTCCTACTAACGTTCTGTTGGATATCAACGGCGAGTTTCCGCTGGACTCGCGCTGGTTTTGCCTCACTTCCAGATTTTTGGCCAAGACTATGGCGCGGTGCTCGCATCCGCTAAGACAACTGATAATTGATCTCCGTGACCAACAGGACATCGAGAAAGATAACATCTGTTACTTGTTGGACGTTTATTTTGCTCACGCGGATCTCTTTGAGCAGATTGACTCTTTTCGTTTGCCTGGTTACCTCGACTTTCCGTACGAGTGCAGACATTTTGATCCCGTAATCAATACGGACTTGGGTCGACAAGTTGCGATAGATCCCGATCCTGTTTCCTCCTTCGAGCTCCTCACATCCTCTTTGGAGTTTGATGCCTTATTTTATACCGACGGATCCCGATCCGAGTCGGATGGCAGAGTTGGCTGCGCTGCGTTCTCTCCGGAGCTCGATTTGGAGCATAAGGAAAGAATTAACAATAACTGTACCATTTTTGAGGCTGAAGCATTGGCCATACAGTATGCGGTTGATACAGTTCTGAATGAGAAGATAAGAAAAACGGTAATAATTTCCGATTCCTTGAGTGTGTTGTCTAATCTCGAGAATCCGGTGTCGACGGGCATATTGCACCGTGGAATTCTGAAAATCAAGAGATCTTTGTTTGAATGTTTCAAACAAGAATTTGAAGTCCATATCTACTGGATCCCCAGTCACAGGGGCATCCCCGGTAATAAGAGGGCGGACGCCCTTGCTAAAGAATCTTTGCGTCTTCCTGACACCTTCCTCCTTAGTAAGTGTCACTATACCAATCTCTATTCCAAGTTCAAAGCCTTGTCAAAAAGTAGAGCTTCTCAAACCATCCTTGCTGAAAGTCGTTACAAAGGGACAAGATATTTCAATCATGTGCGTGACGTTCTCGCACCTCCGTGGTACTCCAATAAGAAAAATATTAAGGAGGATCTTCCGAGACCATTTATCACCTTTATCTCAAGACTGAGATCCCATCACACGTCAACAAAAGACCATCTCTTCAAAAAAAACATTACTGACTCCTCGGAGTGCTCGTGTGGTCATCCTTCCCAGGACATGAACCACGTTTTCTGGTTCACGACGACTCTAATCTGCTCATTACTCGGTTGCATGGGATTACTCCCGACATAGCTCTGGACATACCAACACTGGCTTTCACAAACAACACTAGGATTTTCCGCATCTTACACAACTTCGCTATAAGGAACAAGTTGCACATCTAACTATCGATACTTTCAGTATATCTAGCACAGGTTGCTAACGCACGAGCGATGAGTGGGGGGCAATAGGCGTGAGCCACGAAATCGGGCCGAAATGTGCAAGTAAATCCCAGCACTGATCTAGCAGATGGTGTGTGGACGATTCCCTTGGGAAGTCTGACAGCCAAAAAGAGAAGAAGAAGAAGAAGAAGAAGAAGAAGATGAGACAAAAAGGTTAGAAATGATTATAGTGAAATGTGTGAATATTTCATATAAGTAAATTTAAATAATTTAATTTATAAAATTAAAGATCTTTTTGGACAGAAATTGTTCGAATAAGTGAAAATCGAACAATTATCTGTCCGATTTGCCAAAAATCAGTTCAATATCTGAATTTCCTGTATAAGAATTGTATCAAAAATTGAACTGATGGAAATATATATATCATAATTTTATTAGCATTTTGCAGGCTTTATACACTCATGACAAGAATTGGAATACGGGTATAGATAATGAATAACGCGCCGCATAGCGACTAAACTCTTTTATAATACTTTGTAATAAGCTGCAGATTCTGTTCGGTTTTTGCTGCCAATTTGCCATCAGATTGAGCACTTCAGATCTTGCTCAGTTTTTGCTGACAATCTGATGTCAGTCATGTCAGCAAGCTTTGCTTGGTTTCTGCCGCCAATTTGCTGTCTATTTATGTTAGCAAGCTTTGCTTGGTTCTTGCCGGCAATCTGCCAGCTTAATCGGTAATAACAACTCTTGCACCAAATTTGTAGCCTTTTTGCTGACAATAATTTGTAGCAAGCACTTGGCAATATCTGTTAGAATAGATGTGGCTGACTGGGTACATTTTAAGTTAAAACCGTGAGGATTTTCGATGGCAAGTATTGCATACCAATGTTTTAAAGAAACTACACCATCCGGAGTCTATATGTAACGAAAAATAACAATATAAAATTGTTTAATGTCAACTATATAGTTGACAATAGAGAATAGACAATAGACAATAGACAAATTTTTTAACTCACCCAAATTCCTGCATATCGATCAAACTGAGAAAAATAATTTCGGAGACATTTTATCAAATGTGGAAAATCAGAAATAAACCATAAGCGTCGTTCTATGTCTACAATATGCTGTACACTAATACATTCTTCCGTTACTCCAAATATGTTCCACATAGATCGATTCCATGATGCTCCATCTGATATTACAGCGTCTATTTTAAGTCCAGATTGTTCTGTCAGAATAATGCACTCCATAATAATTTTGTGCAAAATTGATGCACTTGTGTTGCCAACACTCAAGAAGCAAGCCAAAGATTGAACCCATGTTCCTTTAAAGGGCTGAAACATAAGAACCAATGCATGGTCTCCTTTTTTTTTGTTCTTCCGAAGTATATTGACCTAAATCTACAAAGCCTTCAATTTTTAGATTTGTGCGATTAAAATATAAAGTTTTCGATAATTTCATTTCATCCACCAATAAAACACCTATAAAAAATTATTTTGACTATTAAAATGTATAACATTTGTCGATACACTGTTATGTAAAAATTACATTCTTTCTGTAGTTATGCGATGATCTAAAAAGCAATGTTTCATAATAAAAAATGTTTTTTATATTAACAAAATAGATTTTTGTAAATCAAATGTTATATATACCTCGCACATCGTTAGATTCCATGTTTGCCGTTTTCTTTTTTAACATTTCAAATATGCTCATTTGAAAACCGTAACAACCTTTGATATTCTTGATATAACGATTTAGTGTTTTAATTGAAGGTAGTGTTAGAATATTGCGAGATCTCAAATGATTGTATGTTTTGGCGCTTTTAATCCGAAGAAGAATGCATTCATATATCCATTCATTCGAATATCTAATGCCCTTTTTATCTTTTAATTTCGTTGCCGCTTAACAAGCTTGAACTGCCAGTTGTTGATTTTGTGGTAATTTAAAAATAACATCCTCGATTACTTTTTCGTTACATTTAGAACATTTGTCTTTCAAATCTGTTATTTTGTTATACAATTTTACAGTCTATACAAAATTATATTAAGTTGAAATTTGAATTTCAATGAAAATTTCAATGATAATTTCATCTTGTAAAAAATATATATACTTTGTTTCGAAGCCTCTTCTCCCGATGTTTGTAATTTAAATTTGATACTTGTAATTTTTTATTTTTATTTCTTAATTTTTGCATTAGTGTGAAATTATGTCTTTTTCTTAATAACATCTTCCAACTTTTTTTACAAGCCAAACATCTTATTTTCTCTTCTACTCTGTACTGACTTTTAATTACAAAACCATGACAATTTGTAACTCTGTAAAAGAAATTAGTACATTTTGTTTAAAGTACATTTTATTTGGTGCATAACACTATAATTAAACAAGCAAAATTCTTAAAAAGTAAAAATAAATATTTTTATAAATATGAAAAACTAAAATTAAATTTTAATTGTTACTTCTGTAAAACATAAAATATAATTTGATGTACAAACCTGTCTTTATTATTAATTTTTTCACAAGGAAAAAAAGTTTGTAATTTCATCAGAATTTGTTTTATTTCTTGTATGTTATTAATCATTTTCGTATCAAAAGGAAAGAATATAGGTGAACGTTTAAAAATGTATTTAGAAGCCTAGTAAAAAACATTTCGGTGAAAAAATATTGTTATGACCTGACGCAAGAAGCCGGTAAAAAAACTGTAATTTTTTAGCTTTTCTTCGTTTTTAACATAAACTCGTGAAGTCTCATCTTTGTTTCGATGTGCACTTAAATCGTGGAAAAGGATTTATTATTCTATTCAACTAAAAAAAAGATTTCGATGTGCAAAATAATAATTTTTGGTCGGTAAAACAGACGAGCTTTTGGATCCCCTTAAAGTGCAGTTCACAAATTCTACTATTCTTATTTATTTTCATATTTTTAGTACAAAAAAAATTGTACCAAGAGATAAATATATCATTCTATAAAAGAAATTAAATTTCTACTTTTAAATATAATACACATAAAGTATATATGCATATAATAACTTCGGAAAAAATTTAAATAAAAATATTATTCCTTACAACATAAATAATTTACTGTGCGAGCTGTAAAAAAGCTTTTTTTTGCTGATCCATTTTGATCTCTTCTTGAATTGCATCCTTTGATGCAACAGGCCATTTTACTTCAGAATCTGTAATTTTTGTTTATGATGTTATGATAGAAATTAACAATATTAAAATATGCATCTAAATTATCTTATAAAAAAGAAAAAATAAAAATATTAATACCACTAAAAATTATTTATATTAATATTTGAATACACTCAGAAAATATACATTTTGATTATTAATAACATAAAAGATATTACTCATAACTAAATATTAATATTAATCCATTTGACATGCAAATAATTTTAGGTTATAAAATCTGAAAATTTAGTTAAAGTTTATGCTAAAGCAAATTCTATAATTTTCTTCAAAATCTTATAATATCATGCAATTACAAATAAAATTGTAACTAAACTATACTCACTTTAAAATATATTATTAAAATTATTTATCATTCACACTACGCACTTGCTTATTACTAACCAACGTAACACATATATATACGAAGATTAAAGATGGCGACGAAATGGTCCAAGTTATTCTATTCGGCAAACCTGGCCACATACGGAACATTTTTCGTGACCACTTTCAATCTAGGTAGATAACTCTCCTTACTCTTCCTTCATGGTTATACGTTTACCAAACGCGATGATACCGTAAGAGCCGGGGTTCGATGTTCGGTCAAAATTAGATGAGACAAGGGCAAGGTCATCGATGTCTGTGTTTACGTTTTCGTTATTTACTTTGGCCTCAGAATCCTGTACCTGAGTGGAAGAGGAAAAAGAAGGTTTATTTATGGTTTTTTCTATGTGAACAATAATGGAGGATTAATGTTTAACCCTGCCGAAAATGGTCGATTAAAACGGATTTAAAAAAATGTAATCCAAATCGATCGGGATTTCTGCACCGAAAATGCGGTATTAAAACCGATTGAAAATAGTCAAATCGAATTTAGTACACTTCAGGCGATTAGTATGCTTCAGGCGAGTTAATGTTGGGTGATATACATCTACCTCAATCCGCAATTATATGATTTCATAAGTTGTAATTAAACCTGTTTTAATGCAATTGAATTGGAATTTGCCATAGTCAATCCATAGGTAAAAATAATCTCTTTTAATAAAAAATTTTATCATTTCGCAGATGAAAAGTAAATTGATTTTATGTAGTGTGAAGTCGGATTTGCTGTTATCATGAGTCACAATCAATTATTGAATCGGTGTTTCTATAATTGAAACGGACTCACAATCAATTATTAAAAACACATATACGATTTCTCCGCAGAGGGTCCGCCTTATATCCCCGCTTGACCGCTTTCTACTTCCAGGTTGGCTCGCTCAACCTTCGCCGCGTAGCGGCGCCGCCCGGGACTACGCGCGGACGCGCGAGCGCGTATATATGAAACAATATTAAAATTTGTTATATTCAGTTTATCTGTTTCAATACAATCCAATATACAACATGAATTGAATCCTATAATATTCTATTCTTCAACTTTCTTTGCTGCCCTATAAGATTAATATTTATATATGTGAAACAATATTAAAATTTCTGGCATTTAATCTATATGTTTCAATACAATCCAATACAACATGAATTGAATCCTATAATATTCTATTCTTCAACTTTCTTTGCTGCCCTATAAGATTAATATTTATATATGTGAAACAATATTAAAATTTCTGGCATTTAATCTATATGTTTCAATACAATTATAATATAAATATAATATACACATCTGCGCGACTTCTTTCCTCATTATTAAATATATATATATTTAAGTATTTAATAACTGAAAATACTAAATAGTCTTTCTTACAAAAATTATATTATCAATATCCAAATTAATAATGAATAATGGGGAATATTATCTCACAAAATATTTCTATAAAATAGTGGATTAATTGTAATACTATTTTATACAAAATAGTATTATCCAAATAATACAAAGGATTGCTAAATTAAATATTGAATTTGCAAATGGTATGTACATCTATTCTTCTTGCTGCCAGAAAATAATTTATATAATCCAATAAACTGCAATGCATATGACGTAAGTACTGTATGTTCAATACGTATAAAAAAACAGCCTCTAATATTAGTCTATATATTAAGTGTCATTTATCTTAATAGCGTGATAACATCAGACTATGTGATGCATCAATAGTCTATTTTTTTACATTCGTAGAAATATTTATATTTATAATCAATTAAACTTATTATTAAAAAATGGCATTTTTAGAAAAAATTTAGTAGCAATATAGTCAATAAAATCATTGGCAAACAAAATCTTTATCATCAATAACTCATAAAGCATGCAAAGTATGTTTCATGTGATTCATTTGTGAGTATAACTCTTCTTATTATGTGCCTGTAGACTATACAATTCATAAAGTTAATCCAAGCTACAACTCTTTGTATTGGAAGACTCAATGCAGATGCTATGATATTTTGTGTTATTTTAATTTATCGTAAAGTATTTTATGTGACAGTAATATGAAAGGCACTGAGGCTAAGAGTTTCAAACTCATAATATTAAGCTGAAGCATTTGATAATCATCTATATTGTAGCAAAATCAAATATATGTTATTTACGAAATTGTGATTTATCTTCCCTACCTAAGTACTAAATTTCAGACACTTCCAATAGCAGTCTGCAATTGCAGCAAATTAAAAGTAATATTGTACAAAAATTTTGAGCTATATTCAACTTGCATTCGATATATCGATATCTATGGTTTCTTCTTTAAGCAATGCTCGTTTTTCCTCCTTCGCATTGTTCTGTTTTTTACCACCGCTTTTACGCTTGCCCCTATTAAGTACACCATTTTCGTCATCCATCATGCGTAGAATTTGCGTCTGATCAGAACTTTCTATGGGTGCTATCGAGATATCGCGTACGGCACGGAATTTACCACAGTTATTTAAATGTTCGTTCTCCAAACGGAAAAAGTTCCATACAAATCGTCTAAAAACAGTTTTATGATAAAATAGAAAGATGCAAAGAAATTTTCAAATAAATTCAAAAAGTATATTTACCTAAAGACCTCAAGAGGTGCCACGATGGAAGTCATTAAGTCGCTAGAAATGTATTTGCATTCAACAAGAACAAAGCTTGCAATCCATACAAAACGTAGTATAAAATCTTCGATTATTGCAAAGTAATAAAACCACTGAAATACATATAAAATATATAAAATATAAAATATATAAATAACAAATTATATATAAAATTAATACTTTTTTCATTGCCAAATACGTTACAATACGTTGTAAGTCAAATACGTTTAATATACATTTTACTTACAGATGCCGAATAAACCACTTCCTCACGCAGAAAACGATTTTCGCCGGCGTTACTGTCTAAAAGGCCCCAATCCATCTTGAGATCCCATGTGTATGAATATATCGAATTAATAAGGCAACTACATATCCATAACCATAACCATGGATTCTCCCATTGACTTTTATATTCCACTGAAAGTATGCACACATCGTTTCTATATTAATTTTACAAACAATTAAGAACTTTAAAATTTAAAGAAAATTTAAATAAAAATTTTGATAAAATTATAAACATACAATCATTTTGTATCAGGTGATTGCATAAGTTCGTGCCCGATTTAAATATAAACTTCAATAGATTATATTTTAGAGATAACACTTTTATTAATCAATTATATAGTCTCCATTCTTTTCTACAATGGTTTTCCAACGATCTATAAGCTTGTCGATTCCATTTTTGAAGAAAGAACTTGTTTTTTCTTGAAAAAAGTTTGTAAGGTGGTTTTCGACAGCTTCCTCGGAATTGAGATTCTTGCCATTTAAACTATTCTGCAAAGACCGGAACAGATAAAAATCTGAAGGCGCAATATCTGGAGAATATGGCAGGTGCTGTAGAATTTCCCCTTGCAACTCCTGCAGTTTTCGCAGCGTCTGTTGAGCGACGTGTGGCCTAGCATTGTCGTGGTGGAAGATGACGCCTTTTCGATTGGCCAAAATCGGACGTTTTTCTCGAATAGCTGCAGCGAGTCTAGTTAGTTGCTCACAGTACTTGTCCGCCGTGATTGTTTCGCCGCGTCGGAGCAGCTCAAAGTAAATAATTCCCTTGCGATCCCACCAAACACACAGCAACACCTTCATCGGATGCAAGCCAGCCTTTGCTACGGGTTCTGCTCCTTCAGCTGCTGTTTTCCATGTCCTCTTTCGCTGTACGTTTTTGTAGAGAATCCACTTTTCATCGCCTGTTACCATTCGATCTAAAAAAGGCTCTTTTTTGTTACGCTCGAGAAGAGAAAGAGCCACAGTCATACGGTTTAGCTTATTCCTTTCAGTCAGGAGATGCGGCACCCATGTATCAAGCTTGGAAACGTATCCAAGCTTTTTTAAATGACGAAAAGCGGTTTAATTATCGATGTTCAGCCTCTTAGCAATATCCTCAGTTGTAATCCTTGGGTTTCTTTCCACTAAGGCATGCACAATGTTATCATCAATGCCAGAAGGCCGTCCAGAGCGGGGTTGATCCTCCATGTTGAAATCACCATTTCGAAATCTGCCAAACCACTTTTTGACTGTTCGGAGAGCAGGAGCGCGGTCTAAATAAACGGTTTGAATATTTTTTTGTGCAGTCCCAACACTCACGCCTTTCCGAAATTTATATAACATTACATGCCGCAATTTCGTTCTTTCGTTCTCCATTTTTAATGATTTCTCTTATGCACAAATGGACTTATCTGAACAATGTCTGACGCTAAATTGACATAAGATCTATTCGGGAGACAACGTCATCTATTCGGTGTAAGCAACAATTACCACACGAAAACAATAGAACTCCGCCATGCAGTAACTTAATGCCATCTATGAAAATCGGGCACGAACTTATGCAATCATCCAATATAAGTATTAGTTTTGTATTATAGTATATTAAAATTATTGCCTTAATTTTCCTCTTTCAGCAGCTCTTCTTAACCATCCTTGAATATATTTTTTCTGATTCTTTGGTTGTTTGACAATATCCTCTTTTTTTTGACGCTCCTGTTTAAAATCATATCATTATTAAAATCAAACATAAAATTATTTTATTTATGCAATTATATAATGATTTAATTTATGCAATTACATAATTATTTAATTATGCAATTTATAACAAAATAATAAACAAGATAAAGTATGCTACGTATATGATTATATGTAATTACTTTGCATAATTGAGAAATTGCTATTTTTTTATAACTATGGTTATATACACATATGCATGTGTATGATGTATGCAGACAATCACACGCACATTAATTTTATTTTTTGTAATAAATATTAGAGATAAATATCCACATATTTTAGCTTTCATCGGATTTATTTTTGTTTGAAATTTTTATTTAGGACTTTCCTAGAATGTAATACTTACTTATTAAAAGTTTGCAAATATTGAGATTACAGAATGATTTTTTCTTTTTTCTTCCAAAAAAGTTATATTTATCCGCAACCTCATTTGTTAATATCATGGATAAGGCTCTTCGAATAAATTCATATCCATTATTCCCTCCTATTTGTTGCAACTCATTTATCTAAAAAATAAATAAACGTTGCTTACAAATTAAATGTAATTAAAATTTAAAAATAACATATTTCATATATGAAAGGCCTTATTGTTAAAAATACGTGTTATTTAATTTAATTTATTTCAATATGTGATTTTAAAAATAATTTACATTATATATATATATATATATATTGTTACGCACGCAACCTATCGCGTAAAAAACGTTTTGTTATGTGAACCTGTTTTGAAACACATTTAATCATATGATGCTCTGTAAAGAATTCAGTTGCGCAATATTTTTTAAACTTCTTTTAGTATTATTGAAAGAGTAGAAATATCATTGAAAAATTATTAACTCTCCAACATGTATTTTCGTATGTTCTGATACACTAATATACTAATATTTTTTTTGACGCTCCTGTTTAAAATCATATCATTATTAAAATCAAACATAAAATTATTTTATTTATGCAATTATATAATGATTTAATTTATGCAATTACATAATTATTTAATTATGCAATTTATAACAAAATAATAAACAAAATAAAGTATGCTACGTATATGATTATATGTAATTACTTTGCATCATTGAGAAATTGCTATTTTTTTATAACTATGGTTATATACACGTATGCATGTGTATGATGTATGCAGACAATCACACGCACATTAATTTTATTTTTTGTAATAAATATTAGAGATAAATATCCACATATTTTAGCTTTCATCGAATTTATTTTTGTTTGAAATTTTAATTAGAACTTTCCTAGAATGTAATACTTACTTATTAAAAGTTTGCAGATATTGAGATTACAGAATGACTTTTTCTTTTTTCTTCCAAAAAAGCTATATTTATCTGCAACCTCATTTGTTAATATCATGGATAAGGCTCTTCGAATAAATTCATATCCATTATTCCCTCCTATTTGTTGCAACTCATTTATCTAAAAAATAAATAAACGTTGCTTACAAATTAAATGTAATTAAAATTTAAAAATAACATATTTCACATATGAAAGGCCTTATTGTTAAAAATACGTGTTATTTAATTTAATTTATTTCAATATGTCCCAGTGAGCAATATGTTATCAAAAGAAATTCATAAAGTACTCAAGTTTAAGAGTCGGACTTCCGTATATCAGTAACCACACTTTGTATCAAATAATTCTGGGCCATTAAATTCTTAACAGTCTTCTCTGAAAAAATTATTTCAATTTATATTTAAATTTACTAGTCATTATACACACATACGCGCGCGCACATGCACGCACGCACCCATATGTATATATGTATGCATATATGTATGTGTTTATGTATAATCTTTACATATGATATTACCATCGAGTTTCTCTCTCTTACTACAGCAACTGCAAGCTGAATTGCATGGCAAACCTATAAAAAATTTGATATGTATATTAACCAATTCTTGTAAAAAAAAACCTTTTAAATAAAAATATTTAATTTTCTATTATTTCTTAATTTGCGCTGTCGACAGTATCTCTCGAAATTATTATAAAATATGTATAGGACTATAAAATGATGAAACTATATATAAAAAAAAAACCATAACCATAACTTACTGGTGGCGCCAACTTTTGTCAAACGGCGGAAACTTATTTGTACACCTAATATTATTCTGTATAGCCGTAATCAGATGGGTTATCCGCGTCTTCTTTGGTAAGAATTCTCCTGTTGGACATGACAGCTGCGTTTATAAACTCATCAAGGAAGAGTTATAAACGCAGCTAAACTTAAATGTTATCATTACCTAGATAGAACAGAAAATTATAATAATGTCAAAATAACGAAAAAACAATTAAATTATGATAGAAAAGTTAGTTTTTATAGTAATTTTTTCGTCATTTTTTAACGTCATTGTAATTTTCTATTCTGTCCCTGTGTGGAAAAAGGGCCCCTGAAATAGTATTAGCATCAGGCCCCGAAAAGTCACCATCCGTCCCTGATTAATTCGATACACTCGCGAGGCTAAAATGTATATAATCAGCGAAAGTCATTGCACAACTCACTATATTCATGGAATATGGAGTTCACAAAATGTCACAATATGTCAAAATGTGTGTCATAGCCTCCGAATTTGCACACATCACTTTCAACACAAATTTCTCAAAAAATAGGAATATTGCAAACCTCCATGTATACTAGTAGAAAATCGTGTCCCGCAGATGATAAGCGCACTCCAGTGTACCAAGACGCGATATACTATGTTTATAATACCGCGACGACGAAAGCTCCCGCAAACGTCCATTTCCGGCGACGGCTCACTCGGGTCCTTCTGGTCTTTTGATCTTGGTTTTTTTATCTTAATCTTGGTCTTGGTCTTGATCTTAGTCTCGAGAAAGACTTTCTTGAGATGGTAAAATCTTATTCATTATACAAAAGAGAAGCAGG